AGAGACCACTAGTCCACCGCGTGGTTAAGTTTTCTAATTTTTTTTGTATTCAAACGTAAGAAGAATTTTAGCTGTGAATCTATCGTTTAATTTGATATAATTTCTCATTGATGTTAATCTTATTGATTCGAGTAACTTTTTTACTAGTAACTAGTAAGAACGTAAAAAAGAAAAAAAAAAATCAAAAGTGGTTATCATTATTATTTAAAGAAGTCAAGAGTACAATAATCTCAAAGGGTCCTAATTGACTGATGAAAATTTAATTACTCGAATGTGCCTAACTTTCATTGACCTTTGATGTGCCTAATTATTTATTGACTTTGGTGCGCCTATAGTCTGAGACCTGTCAAGGTTTGATAAGCTAGTAAACGTTTTAATTGGACACGTTCCATTATAGTTATGTTGTGCGTAACAGAATAGCCTCTTACAACGAACTTCGTTAATCCCATGAAATGTTTTGAAAGAAAATGATACATCTTGAGTTCTGAGTATTACATTTTATTTTATCTATATTATCCAATATAAAAAATCGTAACCTAAAGCACTCTATCGCTTATGGTAGAATTTAAATTACGATCAGTCGATTTTTAAAATCCAAAACACGTAGATAAGATGTTATAAACAATGCATGGCAGTCTCTAGAGAATAGAGTTGCGTATAGGTTAGGTTAGGTTAAGCGAGGAGACTAAACAAGAGTGGGGAGTCTAGCTAGTGAGCATTAACCAACCCAACCCCTAATTAAATCACAATTCAAAGGCTTCGATTTACTCTCTTTAGTCTTTTGTACTCTCATTGCTCTTTCGCCCAAATCCTCTATTTATTATCTAATCTCTTTCGTTAACTATTTGTTACATACTCGTTAAAGTATGAACATATTCATGCATCAACGGGGAAGAAGAGTCACGAAGATGAACACCAACGATGAACAAAACAAAATGGTGTCGTTTCATGGGAAAAACATCGTGAAAGCTACTGTTTTCATCGTTATTTCTCTATTCATACTTGGCTATTTCCATTTTGTGAGTTTTTAAATAACGAATATATATATATATATATATCTACTTAACTTTTTCATGGTGCATTTTGTCACTGCATTCTATAGTATCTAAGCTTTGAGTTATAACTCTTTTTCCTTTTTGTCAGAATGATTCTGCAGACTTCAAACAAATAACAAAGATAAAGGATGAGCCTAAATTCCCTTACCAATGCGACGAGGTACAGAACAAATCACATCAAGTTCATGTCTCCCAGAATCTCGCATACCGTTCAAAACAGTCCACATGTCCTTCTTACTTTCGTTGGATCCACGAAGATCTACGTCCGTGGAAAGAAACGGGGATAACTAAAGACATGGTCGATAAAGCGGGAAGGACGGCGCATTTTAGACTAGTGATCCACGATGGCAAGGCGTACGTTAAGAAATACAGAAAGTCAATTCAGACAAGAGCTGATTTTACTCTGTGGGGGATCCTACAGTTGTTACGGTGGTATCCTGGGAGATTGCCTGATCTCGAGCTCATGTTCGACGCTGATGATCGTCCCGTCGTGCGATCTGATGACTTTAGAGGTCAAAACATGGACCCACCTCCACTCTTCCGTTACTGCTCTGATGATGCCAGCTTGGATATTGTCTTCCCTGATTGGTCCTTCTGGGGCTGGTAAGCTACTGGGCTTACAATTAATTTATCAGAAGGTTTTATCTGTAATATGGGCTTTTATTGGGCCAGGGCTGAGATCAACATAAAGCCATGGGGGAAGTCGCTGGAGGCAATAAAAAAAGGGAACAACATGACGCAATGGAAGGATCGCGTGGCGTACGCTTATTGGAAAGGCAATCCTAATGTGGACCCCGCGAGAAAAGACCTTCTCAAGTGTAATGTTTCTGAACATGAAGACTGGAATACTCGACTCTATATTCAGGTTCTACCATTAGAAAATTATTTAGTTGATATCAATTTTCTGAAAATCGATAGATAGGCGGTAACTAGGCGTTCTATAGAAGATTAGCGTCTAGACAAGTTATTCAGAATCTAGGCGGAGAATAGTCGTTAACAAATTATTGATTTATTATTATTTTTTTTTTTGAACCACTCAAAAAAAAAAAAAAAAAAAAAAATAAATCAATAATTTATTTTATTTATATTTTACATTTATACAAGCTATTTTAATTTTTTGGTTAATTATAATTTTATTTTAATAAATTATCAAAATTATATATACAAAATAAAATAAATTACAATTTTTTTAATATTTTACTAACATTAGTGCTTAATTTAACAGATTTATACTAATTTAAACTGATTATGACCATTTTAGAACAATTTAAATCGATTTAATTTTTTTTAAACTGACTTGAACATATAAATCGGATTTAAAGAAAAACCATTTTGGTAAAAAGGGAGTTACGCCTCATCCGTCTAGGTGCCGCCTAGACCAATTTTTAGAACGCTGGTTTATATACCTACACATGTATATATGATTGATCTACTACAGTTTAGTTATATGTATCTGAATTTGAGAAATTGTTAACAAGGACTGGGATAAAGAATCAACAGAAGGGTTTAAGAACTCTAATTTAGAGAACCAATGCACGCACAGGTAAGAAAAAGTATCTTGTATACTTTGCATTTAGTTTATTTATTATAGTAAAGTTTGGTTAATTAATTGGTACGTAACAATGATAACAGATACAAGATATATATAGAAGGATGGGCATGGTCGGTTAGTGAGAAATATATAATGGCATGTGATTCAGTGACACTCTACGTGAAACCAAGGTTCTACGATTTCTACATACGAGGAATGATGCCACTTCAACACTATTGGCCAATCAGAGACGACTCCAAGTGTACTTCTCTCAAGTTCGCCGTACATTGGGGCAATACCCACGTGGAAAAGGTAGATCTAATTTAAGGTTTCTCACAGTTGACCTTGAAGTTTGTTCTTGTATAAAATTTAATTACAACCCTGGTTTTTGTTGTGTAGGCACGTGAGATTGGAGAGGTAGGGAGTAGATTTATAAGAGAGGAAGTGAACATGAAGTATGTGTATGACTACATGTTTCATTTGCTTAATGAGTACGCAAATCTCTTGAAATTTAAGCCGGAGATTCCTTCGGATGCGGAGGAGATCACGTTGGATAGTATGGGGTGTCCGGCGACTGAACGGTGGAGAGAGTTCATGGCGGAGTCTATGGTAATGTCTCCAAGTGAGGAGCTTCCTTGTGAGATGCTTCCTCCTTATGACCGTCTAGCTTTAAAAGAGGTTCTTGAGAGAAAAGCTAATCTAACACGTCAAGTTGAGTTGTGGGAGGACAAATACTTTCAAAATTTGACCAACAAACCTTAATCTATACAAGAAGATTTTAGTATTAACATCTCCCTATTGATTTCTGTGGCAATGATATTATTTGTCTAAATCTATAATTACGGATGCTATAGTCTCTACATTGATTATATATATTTATATATTAGACTACAAAGTTTTAATTCTCAAACGATCTTACATATAGCGTAAATGTTTATTGTCATCTCTACTAACCGATTAGTTATGTATAACATGTGTGGTGAAGCTCCATACCATAATTTTTTTGCAGTCAATTATACTGTGATTTCTTCACACCATAATTTAGTATTGTTCCAAAAAAAAAAAAAGAAGCTTAAAGTAGTATTATTATTTTTTCAAATGTGACAGAAACGAATGGAGGAAATAATATTAATAAATAAAAGAAAATATTAGATTTTATCAAAGTTTTTGTAATTCTTGCTATAAAGTTGTCACAAGTTTGTAGATCACAAAAAGGAAAATTAATTCTACCATGCGTAAGTAGGGTATAAAGTCTAGGATTATGTAATTAACGAGGGGTTGACAATCTTAAGCTTCATAATAGGGATTCCTATACCTTAATCACGTGACGGTGGACATGAAATTATAAAATATTAACCTGGACCTCGGTTTTAATCATATTGTAAAATGGAACTATTTTAGCAGGTGTGTACAAATCATTCCCATCCTCAAAACAAATTACAAAACTGAAGTAAAGCATTACCCCTGACTTGATTAGTTGGGACGCAACGAAGAAAAAGCTGGAAGAGTTTGACTTAATAAGGTTTCACTTTGATTCTCCTTAAAGTATTTTCTACCTCATAAATAAATACTCATGAGAAGTGAGCTATGGTTAACTTCTAGATTTATCCGTTTCTAGCTAGCTCCCTTTCACTCTCTAGATTTTCTTTTTGCCCGATGGGAGAGAGCAGATATGTGGTTCGAGGCACAAGATTCCATCATCAGAAACAACAATCAGTTGTGAGTTTATGCTCCAAACTAGCAAATACCTGGGTCACCACAACAATCTTCCTCTTTGTTTTCTTCATCATCCTCCTTGGTGCTTCTCATCGTTGGTTGGATACGGTACACATTCTTGGAACTATTTCTTGGATGGACATGGTATATACATGTACATGTATTTTAATGAAAACTAAAAAATTGCTTTGAAGAACCAGTGTCAATGTAGATGAATATATCATTTGTATGTAAAATAAATTGCCAAAAAACACACATTACGATATGAATACACATTGTTATATAGGTTATTATATATTAATGAGTAAAAGAATATTACGGTTATGCAGTCCTAAGAAATTTGAGCAAAAAGAAACAGTCAATCTAAACAGACTTAATATCTACCACTTATGATTTTCCATACCATAATTATTTTGCAATTAATTATGTGATTTCTTCAGAATTTTCAGCAATATAAATAGTCTATGAATCTTGATATTAATATTTTTTTTGGAGTTTTGTTATATAGGCTACAAGTAGACTCCAAGAGTCATCAGTTTCACAAAAAAATATCAACAAGACAACTATCCCCAAAATCATCAAGATCCCATTGAATTGCACACTCCTCAATAACAACATGACACAAACGTGCCCATCAAACTATCCAACCAAATTAGAACCAACAATCTCTTCTTCGGAAACTTGTCCTGACTACTTCAGATGGATCCAAGAAGACCTAAAGGTGTGGCAAGAGACAGGGATCACAAGAGAAACACTAGAGAGAGCAAAACCTAAAGCTCATTTCAGGCTAGTGATAAAGTCAGGGAGATTGTACGTTGATAAGTATGATAAAGCTTATCAGACAAGAGATGTGTTCACAATTTGGGGAATACTTCAACTTCTAAGAATGTATCCTGGTCAAGTCCCTGATCTTGAGCTTCTTTTCCTCTGCCATGATAGACCAGGCATCTGGAAAAGAGACTTTAGACAAGAGAACAACGCCACGTGGCCTCCGCCGCCCTTGTTTCATTATTGTGGTCACCGTGATGCATACGACATAGTTTTTCCTGATTGGAGCTTCTGGGGTTGGTACGTAAAGTGTTTTCTTTGAGAACCAAACCTATAAATTTGAATAAATATTATAATGTATTATTATATAATGAAAAAAAAGAAGTAATGGCAATAGCAAATTATATACAATATTTTATACGAGTCATAATTTAACGTAGGTAGGTCGAATCGTATATATAAATGAAAGTTAAGCTGTTGTTGTTATAGGCCGGAGGTGAATATAAAAGAGTGGAACAAGTTATCGGTGGCTATTAAAGAAGGGAACAAAAAAGTGAAATGGGTAGATAGGGTTCCGTACGCTTATTGGAAAGGTAACCCTATGGTTTCTATTGCAAGAAGAAACTTCATGACATGTAACGTTTCGGATAAGTATGATCCCATGGTTCGTCTCTATGTCCAGGTATAAATCTATACTGACTTTTGAGTTTTTATTCAAGCATTATGTAGTAATTTAATATTGGGTTATAGTCTTATAGATTAATAGTGGTCATGGTGATTTTGTTGGTGTGTTATTTCAGGATTGGAAAAGAGAGACTAGAGCAGGGTTTAAAGGATCAAAGTTAGAAGATCAATGCACTCACAGGTGTGCAGAAGATATATACTAATTTTTGTTTTCCCTGATCTTAGATTATACAATATAATAACATTCTTGAGATTTGGATTTTGGTATATAAGGTACAAGATTTATATAGAAGGCAATGCATGGTCGGTGAGCGAGAAGTACATACTAGCATGTGATAGCATGACACTACTGATTAAACCAGAATTTTATGATTTTTTCGTAAGAAGTATGATTCCAATGGAGCATTATTGGCCCATTAGACCTAACAATTGTGTTGACCTCAAGTTTGCTGTTGAATGGGGTAACAACAACACCGACAAGGTAACTAAACAGTTACATCCAAAATCTAGTTTAAATTTTATATAATTGTATTTAGCAATTTATGTTGATATATCAATTCATGGTTGATTTGTGATGATCTTTATATTATATAAACATGCAGGCACAAGTCATAGGGAGGCAAGGAAGTGAGTACATGATGAAGAATCTAGAGATGAAGTATGTCTATAATTACATGTTATATGTGTTGCAAGGCTATGGGAAACTGATGAAGTTGGATGTGACTGTGCCTGAAAATGCGACCGAAGTGTGTTCAGAGACGATGGCTTGTCCGATCACTGATGCTGGACTGGTCAGGCAGTGCATGGATGACTCGCTGGTTATGTCTCCGAGTGCCAAGCCTGCTTGTGATTTGCCGCAGCCTTATGGAGATGGTGAGCTCAAGAGTTTTCTTGAGAAACAAGAAAATACGGAGAGGGAGGTCGAGAAGTGGACCGATGAGTATTGGGAGGTCCAAAGTAAGATTCTTCAGCAGTGAAATTCTAATTGTAAGTCGCTGAAATTTATAAGATGTCTGTTAACTATCTAGTGAATCTGGTTAACTTAGGTTGTACACCAATGAAAAATTGTGTATTACTTTAATAATTAATACACCATATGTCAAGCAAATAATCGTGCGTAATGTATATATATATATATATATATATATAAATTTTATTTTATCTAAGCCCATCTTTGAAGATGCCTCTTCATCAGCCTCTGATTGTGAAAAGAGGTTATCCGCACAATACTATGATGAGTCACGTTGAGTTGTGGATTTGTGGGAGGGACAATACTATGATGTGACGAATGAACCTTCATATGTATATATATTGGTTTGTCATTAAGCAATTTGTCTAGTATACTGTCAACTTGCTATTCTAACTACATTTTCGTCCTATTCTTGTTTCACGATTTACTCATAATAATAAATGTTTGTAGCTCTTATCATCACATTTGCTATTCTAATTACATTTTCGCTCATCTACCTTCCTATTAAGATTTTAGAATAAATAACTACAGATCATAGAAAATGGGGTTTAGCAATATCACAAAGTAATAATTTAACATTTAATTTGATGATATATTTTTTTGGCTGATCGATGCAGGGTGATTTTGTTTTTTAATATAATTGATCCTTTTGGTCTTTGAAGACATTATGAAGAGATACAATCATATGCTACTTCATGCGTATGTCGTGCTAGAGTTTTGTTATTAAACTATGCAACTAACGTGGGGTGAACGAATCTGTATCCATACTTGATCACATGGCACCTGTCAAGAATTATAATATTAACCCAGTCCCAAGCCAGGTCCAATTAATATATGATGAAAACTATATTTCCTCGATTCTAAATATATATATGATGTTTTACTTCTTCACGACTATTAAAAGAGTAACTTTTATTTTTAAATATCATTCAAATATAAGTTAAAAATATTCAGAGAGTAACAAAATAGTATTAGCTACACCATTTTTTTTTAAAAAAGTTACCTTAAAATATAAGAGTATTTTATATATTCAAACATCAAAAATTTCCAAATATTATATATTTTTTGAGACGGAAGTAGTATTTCTTAAGAAAGCATTCAACTTGCGACTATAATGTAACCTTAATTTTACTTTTGACTTTATGCATGTTAATTGCTATTAACAATTTTTTTCTATCTATTTAGGGGTATTTCTAATTTTAGTTTATTTTTACTCTAAAATAGAGTTTGAAGTAAACAGCTCCAACCATATTCTATTTTTCAGAAAGATGCATATTCTAGGATTTGTTTTTTTTTTTTTTTGTAAATTGATCAAAATTTTTACATAGAGATTTTCGTTACTTGCTACTTTTTTTCCAAAATAAAATACATATTCTAGATTTTTTTTTTTAAAAAAATATGCATCAAAACTTATAGAGTAAAATGATCAAAACTACTAAATAACATCAATTTTTTACATAGAAATTTGAAGACATGATTTAAATTAAAATAAAGATAAAATCTTAAAATATTACTTAAAATGAAACATAGTAAGTATCATATAAACAAGTATTCCCTCCATATAAAAAGGTATAATGTTTCAGGATATAATTAATTTCAATTATATCTAAAACTAAAATATAAATTAAAAAGTAAAATTATGAAAGGTGAAACTTTATTGATTAAACCAAAAATAATAGTTACAGAATTTATTGTCTCTTAATATGTGTGAGAATCCTTAAACATCATATATTTGTATACAGAGGGAGGGAGTATAAAAATATGTCGGAGATGATCCTAATCTAATCACGACTACTGGAAAGGCATGATCACGAAATTTTACACCATGGTTCCACGACTGTGTCGTGTCTCATTAAAAAATAGGGAAAATAATCTATAACCATTATTTTTTTGACTTAACTAGGCTTTCTCCGTGCATGGTTCTTCTAAAACCTTCATAAAATAGTCATAGCTTAATTAATATCACTCATGTTTCTCTAAAGTCTAAACACAGGCTGGAGCCTTTTAATTTATGTACTTCAAACCAGTATGAATTATGCAAATTTAATATCCAAAAACTATTAAAGCTAGTCATCTTCCACCCCATAAAAGAGATCATGAAGATCTGCTTCACAAGTTCTGTCTGTTGATTTCATCTTCTTGTTGCGTTTGGTTCGATGAGAGAGAACATACACGTGGGTCACCGCCATCAAAAACTAGCAAAGAGTTTATTAAGTTCTAAACTGGCAAAGACATGGGTCACCGTCAAAATCTGCATCTCCCTCTTCTTCATCTTCCTCCTTGGTGCTTCTCTCACTTGGATGTTTAAGGCAATATTTTTCTCTATTTATGCTAATACTTTCTTTCTTGTTTTTTTTGGAAAAAATCCGTTTAGAAAGTGATACATATCTACAACACGTTAACGAGAAAAATGATCATCTATAAACTTTTATAGTCTTAACATTTTTTTTTGTTTGGTATTATTCATAGTTTGTATTAGGTGAGAGTAGATTCCAAGTAATATCAGTATTCCCAAGAAACATCAACAAAAATGCTACCACCACAACAAAAATTCCGAAGACCATCATCAAGATCCCATTAAACTGCACACCCCTCAACAACAACAAAACCACACAAACATGTCCTTCAAATTATCCAACCAAGCTCGAACCAGCCATCACTACCTCAGAAGCTTGTCCTGACTACTTCAGGTGGATCCACCGAGACTTAGAGGTATGGCAAAAGATAGGAATCACAAGGGAAACACTAGAGAAGGCAAAACCAAATGCTCATTTCAGGGTGGTAATAAAGTCAGGAAAATTATATGTTCACAAATACAAGAAAGCATTTCAGACAAGAGATGTGTTTACAATTTGGGGAATACTTCAACTTCTAAGAATGTATCCTGGTCAAATCCCTGATCTTGAGCTTCTATTCCTCTGCGATGACAAACCCGCCATTTGGAAAAGAGACTTCAAAAACGGCACATGGCCTCCTCCGCCGTTGTTTCGCTATTGTGGTCACCGTGATGCATACGACATCGTGTTCCCTGATTGGAGCTTCTGGGGTTGGTATAACTCTTTTGTAAGCAAAATTGTTTTAAACAATGTTAAAAATTGTTTAATCTATCTTATAAAAAACATTGTTTTAACTAACATTGTCTCTCCATGTGTTTTACAGTAAGTATCACTAGTTTTAATTAATACTAGAGTTTTTATTAAAAATTCATTTAGTCAGTACTTACATATAATATCATATAAATGTAATGCACTATCATGCATACATGAAATTTCTATTAATTAAATAATATTTTAGATATTCTATATTTTACTAATATTTTTTTTTAAAAAAATCTTACTTCTCATTATTTAAATAATTAATTAAATTCATAATTATTATTAAGATATTATAAACAAAATACTAATTTATTTTTAATTTTAAAAATATAGTTCAATTTTAAAAATGTAATTCTGTTATAAAGACTGATCAATAGCGTAGATGACCCATAACCACCAAAGTATGTAAACATGATTATGTTTATAATAGGCCGGAGCTGAATATAAAGGAATGGAATAAGTTATCTGTGGCACTGCAAGAAGGAAACAAAAGGGTTAAATGGGAAGATAGAATTCCGTACGCTTATTGGAAAGGAAACCCTCGGGTTTCTCCAATAAGAGGAGATCTCATGAGATGTAACTTCTCCGAGGAATATGATCCTATGGTTCGACTCTATGCGCAGGTGTGTGTATAACATCTCCCATTTTGAAACCAATTGTCAATGAATCTTGAAACTGGACCTTTATACTTGCATGCATTCTCAAATAACGAGTTTCATTTGGGGTCTAGATAAGATTCGTTTAAAAAAAAAAATTATACCATGTAGTCATTTATAACCTCAAACCAAGAAGTTTTTGTCTCACTCTCACATGTTGTTTCAGGATTGGAGAGGTGAGAGCAAGAAAGGGTTTAAAGGATCAAACCTAGAAGATCAATGCACTCATAGGTATGTGTATATGCAAAATACATCCAGGTTACAAATCACTTATATATTCTCATATTTTGTTAATTTGCTATATTGATTTTTGCATCTGAAATTTGGCATTCAGATATAAGATCTACATAGAAGGGAAAGCATGGTCGGTGAGCGAGAAATATATACTTTCATGTGATAGTATGACTTTGTTGGTTAAACCACAGTATTACGATTTTTTCATAAGAAGTATGGTCCCAATGAAGCATTACTGGCCTATTAGACCAAGAAAAAAATGTGGTGACCTCAAATTCGCTGTTGAATGGGGTAACAACAACACCGAAAAGGTACGGAAATATTAAAAAGTGTCTAAAGAATTAATACCTTGTGTTGTGCTGGTCTTATTCATTATATGTGTATAGGCACAAGTAATAGGGAGACAAGGAAGTGAGTACATGATGAAAAATTTAGACATGAAGTATGTGTATGATTACATGTTATATACGTTACAAGGCTATGGGAAACTAATGAAGTTGGATGTGACTGTGCCCGAAAATGCGACGGAAGTGTGTTCGGAGACGATTGCTTGTCCGATAACTGATGGTGGATTGATCAGGCAGTGCATGGATGACTCGTTGGTTATATCTCCTAGCGTCAAGGCTGCTTGTAATTTGCACAAGCCTTATGGAGATAATGAGATCAAAATGATTCTTAAGGAACGACAAAATGCAGAAAGAAAGGTTATGAAGTGGACCGATGAGTATTGGAACTTGAGAAGTGGAAAATAAGATCAATTTCTTCAATCGTTAGAATATATTATAACTGTATCTTGTGAGTTTGGTTTGCTTTGTATGAATCGAAATATAATCCAGTGGTGCTAATCTAGTTTCAACATTTTTTTTAATGAGCTTTTCTTATTTATATATATATATATTAAAATATTTTAGCGTTCCCTTGTTTGACAAGTCTCCACAATCTCAGAAAGTGTAAAAGAAACTTTCAAAATCTTGATATTGACACAGACCATATCTTTTTACAGTTAATTAGCCTGTGAACTC